TCCTAATACTTTGTCAAAAATCGTTTTTGTTCGGTAAGCAAGCAGGGTACAAATTCGGCTACTTGTTGCTGCAAAGCTGGTATATCGTAGTTTATTTCACGTATAATTTCATCACTTAGTTCATTTTCAGTTGTTCGCTGAGGGCTTATCATTCCAAAGTCGCTTAATTTTTTGCCTACCATTGCCATTACTTTATCTTCAATTTTTCCAAGTGCTTCATTATAAATGTGTTCATTGTATGTCATATTCACGTGTGTCTGCTGTAACCTTAGCAAAATATCTTCCACCATGTACTCTTTATATTTGTCCCACAATTCATGTGCATTAGATATCCCTCAAAATGATATGAGAGTTGCATAAAAGTAAAGTAAAGTTACAGCCTATATTCGTCCCACTGCTGGGCTCAGGCTTCCCCTCATTTCTGAGAGGGTTTAGGGCAAGGAAGTGTCCGCCGCGCTGCCCAAATGCGTGTTGACGAACTTCACATGTCTTCGAAATATTTTTTTTTCTTATTCCTCAGACATGCAGGTTTCCTCACGATGTTTTCCTTCACCGCCGAGCACGTGGTAAATCAGCACTTAAAATTGCAATTAACAATTTCATTGGTGCCGGCGGGGATCGAACCCGGGTTACTCGCGTTCTGTTATGTTTACAGCGAGCGTTAACCACTGAGCTACCACGGCAGAGTTGCATAAAGATCCCTAATTTTGGCTGGTGACCGGCACTACACAGCTTCCTCCATGGTTTCATCCCAGTGGTTATCGTTTTCTAAAAGATGCAGAGCTTCACATGCTTCTCTAAAAGTTGCGCATTCCTGACCGTTGATAGTTTTAAGGCCTTTATATCCTGTAGGACCCCGAACGTGGTGCAGCAGCAATCGTAAACAGAATCATTCAAAATTAGTTACATGGACGGTATACACACGACCAAGGGCATCTCATGACTTTACACCAGGCCAATTTGCAACAGGCGTGCCTTGAATACGGCGTTTCTACTCATTCCTAGATGTGTTCCAAGTATAATAGCGGTAACCAAGTAGAATGCTGTTAGTGTAGTTTTTGGCGATGATGTAATTCTTTCTTCGAAATTTCTTTAGGTGAAATATACACGCTCTCCATTTTCTAAGTACACAGCAAGGTGAATAACTATTGGGTGCCTTTCGTGTAAAGAGAAGCCAAGGAGACGCCACGCTGCCTCGTTACTACTGACATAACGCCCTGCTTGAAAGTTCTGTACTTCGTTAACGGGATTTGCCTCACCTTCACGCCTGAGATTAAAGATTGCTTGGTCGCTTCTTTTATTTATGTACTTACAGATATACTGTATTGCGCGGACAGAGCTACATGCTTCTACATTAATGTGGGCATTAAACATTTTACATAGAATGGGCGAATATGGGAAAATCCAGCTGTTATCTAAGGTATCATGCGGTAATCCTCTTTTTTGCCATTCACTTGAATACATGAAGCACTGCACCTCTCAGAAAATTTTTCCTTTGTTAATTACATACATTAATTTTTGTACTTTTAATCTAAATATTTTAGCAACTAAATCGTGTCTGTCAGTAGTTTTTGGCCCGGCATTAGCTCCTCGGTTATTTCTTTCCATGTGGGATTGCAAGTAAAAACAACAAAAAGATCAGGTCTTCCGTAAGTTCGTACATAGGCGAATGCATCTTTTCAAGGGCAGAATTACCATTTTACCTAAATCTCTGGGGTTTACATTGGCGTCGCTAGAAACTGCATCTTGTAAATGTATATAATTCTCAACAACAACTATAACGGAGACGTTCACTTTCTACCTTCACATACATGTCTACCAAAAATTGATGAAATAATTGTCTACACCGGGCTAAGAGGTTAAAATCATTTTCTCGCAACATCATATAATACGCATAAAAATCCGTACATGATACTTTTTTGTTCGGAGTAGGCTCCTTTGTGACCGGGTTAATGAGCGGAATTTGAAAATGATAACCCTCTTGTCCTTTGCAATAAATCAATGGGTATTGCAGAGCGTCATAAAACTTGTGTGTATCGGCTACCCGTTGCAACGTATCATCACGTGCTCGCAAGACAATGTCTCGTGAAGAAAATTGATTACCACTAATTACGGCTGCTATTTCGTTTATCAAAGGTGCATTGTAGCGCCTTTCATGCTCTCCTCGAGGGGTCCGATCTGCGTGAATGACGACTTTATATAATCCTCTTCAGGTAGGTTTTCTAAAGCAGTTTTAAATGTTTTGACTAAAATGTTAGGTTCATGCAAGAATCTTTGAATTTTGAACACTGTGTCTCTCTCAACTCCCTGGATAAATTGGCAGCGACGGTCTACCTCAATTTCTATATACTTGTAAAAATTTATGCTGTTCGTTTTCAGCTGGAAAAAGTGAACCTATGATAAATTTGCCCTTGCACCGTAAATGTAGATGAAAATCCCGGCATTATTATTTCCCGGTCAACTCCGAAGGACGTCATTTGAAAGCATGAGTTATATTTCCGGATTCTATTTAAAAAGCGCCGTAACTCATTAGCATCATATAAAAACAGAGCTTTCAAAGGTTCTTCTGGTTCCCCAAGTAACGGAAGAGACACTTTGCCATTGGAGTAGCACATGCCTGCGGTCTCATCTTTCCATTTTAAAGCGCTGCAAAATCGACACGCCTTGTCCTCCATCCCATCAGTCCGATAACAACTAACCTGTGATTTTTATAATCAATCAACGGATCATAATTGAATGCTGCGTCATTAAAAACCGACCAATTGTTTCTTTGAAAATTTTGTCGACATTGAGCTTGGAGCTATGCATTTGCATCTCTTCGCGCCTGTGTCTGTTCTGGTATTTCAGATGCCCTTATAGTAGATTGACGTTCAGCTTGCGTAATGAGTCTGTGTTGATTTTCATCAGGTGTTTCCGCGCCTCTTAAGGCAGCCTGACGTTCCGCTTGTTCGAATAGCCTTTGCTGACTTTGAGCAGGTGTTTCAGTAGCTCTTAAAGTAGATTGACGCTCTGCCTGTTCAAGACGCCTTTGCTGACTTTGAGCAGGTGTTTCAGTAGCTCTTAAAGTAGATTGACGCTCTGTCTGTTCAAGACGCCTTTGCTGACTTTGAGCAGGTGTTTCAGTAGCTCTTAAAGTAGCTTGACGCTTTGCCTGATCAAGACGCCTTCGCTGACTTTGAGAAGGTGTTTCAGAAGCTCTTAAAGTAGCTTGACGCTCTGCCTGTTCAAGACGCCTTTCCTGACTTTGAGAAGGTGTTTCGGAAGCTCTTAAAGCAGCCTGACGCTCTGTCTGTTCAAGATGCCTTTGCTGACGTTGAGAAGGTGTCTCAGATGCTCTAAAAGCAGCCTGACGCTCTGTTTGTTCATGCCTTCTCAGTTCAGCATCTTCTAAAGATTCTAGCGATCGCGCTAATCTTTTCGCTTGTTTTTGAGAAGATACTCTCGAAAGGCTGGACTTACGTTTGCGAGGCATTATGAAGTAACAAAAAACCTATTTATAAAAAAACGTTAAAATACCTAAAAAGGAATTAAATTTCCTTTTAAATTTTTTTTAAAAGCAATCCAAAATATCTAAAAGGAATAAATATTCTTTTTAAATATTTTTAATATCAAAACAAAAAAAAGGAATTCAAGACACAACACGAATCCGAAAATGATAGCCAAAAAAAATATCGAATCAACCAAAACCAAATCACAAAACAAATCGCAGAAAACCGAAATCTTAAGCAGTAGTCAATATAAATATAACCAACGAAAAAAGAAGTAAGTGTATAGGTACCGTATACATGTATAGGTATCTATACTATTAATATTCCTTTGAGATGTTGTTAAACAACCTAAAACAACAAAAACCAATTCACGATTCTACTCGTAAATAAACATAATCCAAAATCAAAGCCAGAGTCTAAATATGTATAAAGGAATACCAACCAAATCAACAAAACCGATCCAGGAAATACACAAATCCGAAAATGAAAGCCAATATAAATCCATTCTACCTTAACCCAATCAGAAAGCAAGTAACAAACAACCGAAATCGAAAGCAGGTAGTTGAATAAGCTACGAAATAGAAACAATTTAAGTGTATAGGTACCGTATGCACTATAAGTTGAAACATTTCGTTACCGCATTTTAAAAACTTAGTAACGACATCTAGCGGAATCAATTTAAACTATGTATACGTTAGTTAATAAGAACTCTCAAAAATATTTTTCTTATAATTTTGCACAATTTTTCTTATTGTAATACCGATTCATTCATAACCACATAAGGACTGTATTCATTTCCGTTCAATAAATATTACTAAGGCTTATTAATAAGGCTTACTAAGAACTGTTTCTACCACTGTTAAGTAATAGTTAAGGGTAAAAGCATGACAGGTGGTGATAGTATTTCTGATCCATATTTATAATCACGCCTGTAACCCTTGCGGGGTAGGCAGAGCATCAACGGATTACTTAATATCGTCTGCGTTTGAAGAAAATCGGCTGGTGAATTTTATGTTTTTATCGCTCTATTCTCGGTCCTTCGTGAAAAAATACAGATCCATACATTTTTTATCTTAATTTTGGTAAAAAGACATAATAATCCAGATATTCTGACCTTCTGTGTTCGTCCATCGTACCGTCGACCGTCTTGTAGAATCACGGTGGTGCCACCTAATTTAATTTTGCAACATATTCGATTTTCCCACGGGAATGATATGTTTTTCCGCTGGAAAAAGTAGCCTATGTCACTCTACAGCCACCGAACTATTCCCATACCAAAATTCATGCCATGCCGACGCTCTGTTGCGACGTGAAAGAAGGACAAACAAACACACTTTCGCATTTATAATATTAAGTATGGATATGGATGGTTGTGGACTGAAGACCTATATATTAAAACATAAAAGAAGACCTTACTGCTCTATGAAATAAAGCAAATATATGAAAGGTCTCAAATATGTAAAAGCAAATGTTAATAAAAAATATAATAATAATAATAATAATAAAGAGCATATGAGAAGTATATTGGAAGAGGCGATTGTGGAAACGCGCAGTACGCCTCTCGAAAATCGACCGCGACTTCCCCGCATAGCCCTAAGCAAGCGGAATCGGGCTGTCGTGAGGGCTCTGAACCCAATGCTGGTTACCTATTTGGAAGCCAGCCGGGACCTTTGCGAGACGGACTCAATTCTTTTTGGCGCCGCGCTGGCAGTCTGCCGTATCATAGGCGCCAAGGTTTCCACGGCTGGACGCGCTACTGGCCATAGTAGCGCTATCCCAGCATGGAGAAGAAGAATTGAGGAACGTATCGCAAAGGCTAGAGCTCTCATCGGCAGACTGATATGCTTCAGATCAGGCAACAACAGGCCAAGAATTGTGCGCACCGTCAGGATGGCGTTTGCTGGGACAAATGTCAGTTTGTCCCAGCCGGATATAACGCAAAAACTGACGGAGCGCATAGATGATCTGAAGCAGAGAATCGCTGCTTGGGGAAAGCGGATTCGGCGATATACCGAGAGGTCGACACGGTTCAACCAGAATCGTCTCTTCCAGAGTGATCAGAAGAGGCTCTATGAATCATTGGAGCGACCAATGGTAAGTGGAACGGGTCCAGCACCGAATCAGGCCGACACTGTAGCATTCTGGCGCGGCCTGTGGTCAGAGCCCGTAAACCACAGCGAGGGCCCTTGGACGGAAGTTGTGGCGAGTCAGTGTGCGGGTATTACGCCCATGGACCCCGTCATCATAACGCCGGATGACGTAGCTGAGGCGGTTCGTAGGGCCCCGAACTGGAAAAGTCCGGGGCTTGACGGGCTGCATCACTACTGGCTGAAGGGATTCATGGTGTGTCACTCTGTGCTCGCCCGACAGTTTCAAGAGGCTCTCAACCAGAAGTCGCTCCCAAGCCTCTTCACTACTGGGATCACTCATTTAGTTCCTAAAGACCAGGGTACCACAGACCCGAGCAAATACCGCCCCATCACGTGTCTACCGACCATATACAAGACACTAACATCCATTTTGAGCGCGAGAATCACTTGTCACCTGGACTCAAATCAGGTGATGTCGCGCGCTCAAAATGGATGTCGGGGCGGTGGTCGTGGAACCAAGGAACCACTCCTCATTGACGCGGTCATTGGCAAAGTGGTGAAACGCAACCGTCGGAACTTCTCCGCCGCCTGGATAGACTACAGAAAGGCATTCGACTCGGTGCCCCATACATGGCTAAAGAGAGTCCTCGAGCTGTACAAGATAGACTGTACAGTTAGAGACTTCCTCGAGCAGTGTATGGGGCAGTGGAGTACGATCCTTTGTCATCTAGGCGAGCGGATGATGGCTGCGGAGAACCACATAAGGATAAGAAAGGGGTATCTTCCAGGGCGATTGTCTGAGTCCAATCTGGTTCTGCCTCTCTCTGAACCCTCTCAGTACCTTACTGGAGGGCTCCGGGAGGGGATTTCAGCTACGGAAAGGAGGGACAAAAGTGACCCACCTTTTCTATATGGATGACCTCAAGTTATTCGCCTCCAGTCGCTCCCATCTTATGGAATTGCTAAACATCACTTGTGAATTTAGCAATTCCATTGGAATGGAGCTGGGGACGGATAAGTGTGCGGTTCTCCATGTTGAAAGGGGAAGGGTTGCTAACTCTGAGGGCGTAGACTTATCTATGCCCGTCAACTTAAGGACCCTTTCCGAGGCTGAAACATACCGATACCTGGGTATGTCACAAAACATCGGTATCGATGAGACTGGTATGAAACAGTCAGTTTGCGACGTGTTTTATGCACGCTTGACCAAAGTGCTTAACAGCCTTTTGTCCGGTGTGAATAAGGCACACGCATATAACGGCTGGGTCATGCCTGTCCTCATGTATACCTTTGGCATACTCAGGTGGACTCAGACTGAACTTAACGCCCTGGATAGAAAAGTCCGCACTACAATGACGTCCCATAGGATGCATCATCCGAGATCGTCGGTAATGAGGCTGTACTTGCCGCGGAAGCATGGTGGTCGTGGCTTCTTGAGCGCGCTCACCATGCATAATCGCGAAGTGTGCAGCCTCCGTGATTACTTCCTGGCGAGATCGGATGATCCATTCTATAAGGACGTCATTTCTTGTGATAAAGGACTTACCCCTCTATCCTTAGCCAACGAGCAATGGCAAGACCCGGCAGTGCAGAGCATTTCCGACCGGGAGACCGTATGGAAGGAGAAGGAGCTCCACGGGAGGTTCTACAAGGCTCTACATGAGCCTTTCGTAGACACAGTAGCCTCCCTCCACTGGCTACGCTTTGGTGATCTCTTCGGGGAAACCGAGGGTTTTGTCTGTGCAATACAGGATCAGGTTATTAAGACCAACAACTATCGGAGATACATCCTAAAGGATGGCACCGTCGACATCTGTCGAGCTTGTCGCCATCCCGGTGAGTCACTTAGGCATGTTATCTCCGGTTGTTCGGCGCTTTCTAACTCTGAGTACTTGCACAGGCACAACCTAGTAGCCAGAATTCTACACCAGGAGCTCGCTCTGAAATACGGTCTCGTGGATCGGAAATTGCCGTATTACAAGTACTTGCCGGAAGCCGTGCTCGAAAATGATCGCGCCAGGCTCTATTGGGACCGGGCCATCATCACAGACAGGACTATTCTTGCGAATAAGCCTGATATTGTGCTGATGGACCGGGCACAGTCAAGGATATTTTTGGTCGACATTACCATTCCGTATGACGAGAACCTCGTGAAAGCCGAAACAGACAAGCAAACAAAATATCTGGACCTGGCTCACGAGGTAACCGACATGTGGGGTGGTCTGCCGACCGAAATTATTCCTGTAGTCGTCTCTGCAAACGGGCTAATCCCAGTCAGCCTCTCGGGTCATCTGAGGCGGCTGGGACTACGTGGCGGACCGCTCCAGGTTCAAATGCAGAAGGCGGTGCTCCTCGATACCGCCCGCATCCTCCGCCGGTTTCTTTCCCTTTCCCCCTAACCCTCGGCCGTTTGGTCTCCCCTGCCGAGGGCCTCCATCTGGTTGGGCTTTTATTTATTTATGTACTTTTATATTTATTTTATGTTATTGATATTTATGTATATTTGTCTTTTTCATTTTCATTTATAATTATATATTTATAGCACCCAACCAGATGAGAAAACTATATAGATACCCCTAAATAATAATAATATATTCCATCCCAGCTCCATTCCAATGGAATTGAATTTAGCAATTCCATTGGAATGGAGCTTGGGACGGATAAGTGTGCGGTCCTCCATGTTGAAAGGGGAAGGGTTGCTAACTCTGAGGGCGTAGACTTATCTATGCCCGTCAACTTAGGACCCATTCCGAGGCTGAAACATACCGATACCTGGGTATGTCACAAAACATGCGTATCGATGAGACTGGTATGAAACAGTCAGTTTACGACGTGTTTTATGCACGCTTGACCAAAGTGCTTAACAGCCTTTTGTCCGGTGTGAATAAGGCACACGCATATAACGGCTGGGTCATGCCTGTCCTCATGTATACCTTTGGCATACTCAGGTGGACTCAGACTGAACTTAACGCCCTGGATAGAAAAGTCCGCACTACCATGACGTCCCATAGGATGCATCATCCGAGATCGTCGGTAATGAGGTTGTACTTGTCGCGGAAGCATGGTGGTCGTGGCTTCTTGAGCGCGCTCACCATGCATAATCGCGAAGTGTGCAGCCTCCGTGATTACTTCCTGGCGAGATCGGATGATCCATTCTATAAGGACGTCATTTCTTGTGATAAAGGACTTACCCCTCTATCCTTAGCCAACGAGCGATGGCAAGACCCGGCAGTGCAGAGCATTTCCGACCGAGAGACCGTATGGAAGGAGAAGGAGCTCCACGGGAGGTTCTACAAGGCTCTACATGAGCCTTTCGTAGACACAGTAGCCTCCCTCCACTGGCTACGCTTTGGTGATCTCTTCGGGGAAACCGAGGGTTTTGTCTGTGCAATACAGGATCAGGTTATTAAGACCAACAACTATCGGAGATACATCCTAAAGGGTGACACCGTCGACATCTGTCGAGCTTGTCGCCATCCCGGTGAGTCACTTAGGCATGTTATCTCCGGTTGTTCGGCGCTTTCTAACTCTGAGTACTTGCACAGGCACAACCTAGTAGCCAGAATTCTACACCAGGAGCTCGCTCTGAAATACGGTCTCGTGGACCGGAAATTGCCGTACTACAAGTACTTGCCGGAAGCCGTGCTCGAAAATGATCGCGCCAGGCTCTATTGGGACCGGGCCATCATCACAGACAGGACTATTCTTGCGAATAAGCCTGATATTGTGCTGATGGACCGGGCACAGTCAAGGATATTTTTGGTCGACATTACCATTCCGTATGACGAGAACCTCGTGAAAGCCGAAACAGACAAGCAAACAAAATATCTGGACCTGGCTCACGAGGTGACCGACATGTGGGGTGGTCTGCCGACCGAAATTATTCCTGTAGTCGTCTCTGCAAACGGGCTAATCCCAGTCAGCCTCTCGGGTCATCTGAGGCGGCTGGGACTACGTGGCGGACCGCTCCAGGCTCAAATGCAGAAGGCGGTGCTCCTCGATACCGCCCGCATCGTCCGCCGGTTTCTTTCTCTTTCCCCCTAACCCTCGGCCGTTTGGTCTCCCCCTGCCGAGGGCCTCCATCTGGTTGGGCTTTTATTTATTTATGTACTTTTATATTTATTTTATGTTATTGATATTTATGTATATTTATTTTTTCATTTTCATTTATAATTATATATTTATAGAACCCAACCAGAAGAGATTACTATATAGATACACCATATAATAATAATTACATGTAAATTTGCTTGTTTTAGTGTATATTAGTTGTAATTTAGTTTTCTATGTAACCGTTTGTAAGAAGAGCGGTTCTACCCACCACAGGCGATGTTTTGCCTAAAGGGGATTTCCCACATCTAATATTTGTAATAGAAAATAAATATTTGAATTTGAATTTGAAAATGGGAATTGAAAAGGATTATTATAGTGACTACATCACAAGCGTCCGAGATCGAGGTAAATTTGGACTCGCTAACCGATGTGTCCTAGACATATCATCTTAGTACTAATTTTTACGGAATTTATCGCGTATATTTAACTTTTTTTACCCGACGTTTCGAGAGCTTTACAGCACCCATGGTCACGGGAAGGACTGAGATGTTCAACGTCCAGCTGTCATAGTTAACCGCGGTTACCATAGATTAAAATTTAACTTTTGTTCCGATCTACACAGTATGAACTTATGGTATCATGGAGTCTTGCAGTTGTATGCTTGGGTTGGGATTTAATTTTATTTATTATAGGATCCCAAGCAGATGGTAGCACCCAGCCATCTTCTCTATTGAAATTAGGATGTTTTTTGATTTCAATAGCCTCGCGAATCATCCTTGGAAGGAATCGGTGTTCTTTAGCGAGGATTTGTGGTCTATCAAATCTGATGTAGTGACGGGGGCGATCCTGTACATGTTCACAGACTGCAGACTTCCCGGAGCGTCGATTCTTCACATCAGCTATATGTTCTTTGACGCGAGTTTTAATTGATCTTTTAGTTTGTCCTATGTAGGAGAGACCACATTCACAATCAAGCTTGTACACTCCTGCATCTTGCAGAGGGACGTTACACTTGACTGATGGTAAAACTGACCAATCTTCTTCGGCGGCTTGAAGTATGTTTTGATGGAAGCGCGCTTCAAGATGTAGCCAATCTTGTCAGTGACTCCTCTAACATATGGCAGTACAGCAGGTACACGCTCGACTGTGGCCGGCTTCACTCGTTCTCTGTGACGTAGGCGCGGGACCCGAAGCTTGTTGTCATGCAAAACTTGCTTGACATGTTGGAGCTCGGCAGCCAGGTGTTTACTGTCACAGATCCCTCGTGCTCTCTGAAACAAAGATTTACCCACGGTAGCTAACTGTG